CCCTAGACTAGGTAAATAGATGTAAAACTCTCGAGATTTGGACGATAGTAGTGACATCTAAGTTTACCCCACATTAGTAGACGACACTTGGAATATATATATAAATGGTATTGGCAAAGAAAACTTCGAATTTCACTGCCATCTATACATCAAACTATGAAGCGTAACCAAAGGCGCGCATTTCAAAATTACACCAAACTTTATTTTTTTTTTTGTTTTAAATGGAAATTAAAAAAAAAACAAAAATAAAATTAACAAATTTAATAACAAAGTATAAATGCAGTAATAAATATAATTAGCAGAATATACGAGTAAATAGCAAACATCAATTAATTAAAATATAGATACTAATACAGGTATATTTGTATGAACAAAGAAATTGTTCTTTACCTAATTTAGTACTGCTTCCTGCTTCTACAGGGGGTGCTAACTATTCAGAAACTGCAGAAATACTAGCTTCTGTATTGTCCATTGTGAGTGGGCAGAAAACATCCTTTATTTACTTATTGTAAAGCATGATTGAAGTACTTAATATATTACTTACTTTCAGGATAGGCAAAAGTACTTTTCACAAAAATTTTAAAATATTACAAGTTGTGAAACTAATCACTATTGCTCAATAACGCCACAACTACTGGGGAATTCCTCCGATAATCACAACCGCCGTCGCGTCATCTGTTGTCGTTTCAGTAAAATGTATGTCGCCTAGTATGTCGGTAATGTCGATTTTGGTAATTTAAAAAATTTAAAAACTTACGTGGGGTAAACTTAAGTGTCGCTCGCGCTCGACATTTCATACCCTGCATTTCATACCTGGTCTAAGCCTGGCACCTATCGTCGCTTCTGTGGGGATTCCCTTAGTGACTATGTGTCGTTGATATTTAATGTATAATAAAAGTAAACATTTATAGTGAAAATGCAGTCAAGGAGGGGAAAAAGATATTCTACGAATAATTCAGGTGAGTGTTCGATTGCAGTAATTTCTTTTCGTATGACTGTTAATATTCTGTTATAGTAGATAGATATCTCAGACAAGAAAGCCCTTTGTTAGCCTATTTTAATTACCTTTGGGAAGTACCCGATAAGGAGCTCTGTACAGTTTTGCAGAAGAATATAGAAAAGTCTCTTCAACTTTTACGAAACGTATTAAGCCCAGATGAAATAATAAATACAGTATATTTGCTACTACGTATTTCAAAATTACATGTAGATTTTAAAACCAAAGTTACCACAATTTCGGTTATTCTTGCGGAAGTTTCACGACAACTGAGTGTTTTTATCGGATATATGCCATTTATAAGAAATTCAGAATATCAGGAAAGTCTTGAAAAATTTTGGTTCGCAATTTATGAATTAATTCAAGAACTTATTAAGTTTAATAATCCTCTCCATAAAGAATATGTTGTAAAAATTTATCTAAATTGCAAAAAGTTTATTTCTAAGAAAAATGCAAACACTTTCAATCTTCCAAAAATACCAGAATCCATTGTAAGTGATCTTAAAACATATTTAGAGATAGATGAAATAGAATCCATCAATTTTTATCTATTGCATAGTGAAATAGAAAAGTGCAATATAGATGAGGCCACCGCATTCAAAAGTTTAAAAGAATTTAAAAGTTATGAAGAATATTTTAAATGGCAATATATAGAGATAAGAGCGGAATTTATTTCTACTTTATCAAAAGCAATTAAACATTTACGTGAAAACATCAATTCTGATAATGTTAATAATGAATTTCAAATAATGTTGAACTGTACTGGTGTATTAAACAGATATGGATTATTCAGTGTCACTACTGGAGAATGTAAGCAGAAGTACTTTGAACATGAAGAGTTTATACCAGGATCCCTTGTGTGTTTTTCGTATAACACTTATCAAACATACACATTTGGAATTGTGCAGAAAGTATTTTCTGAACAAAACACTTTACTTATAAATTTGATCAATATTGATCCCCATTTACTAAATAAAACATTTTCAATGGCAGTTTATAAAGGAAATTTCTATAGGGCTGTAGATAGTATTTTACAATCAATAAAAAAAAATTTGTTCAAGGAGTTACCATTTAAAGAATACATACTTTTTGGTAAAAATAGTTTCATTGAACAACCAAAATATTTACAAAAAGCATCAGAATACACCATTGATAGTTTCAAATTTAAGCCATGTGACTTTAATACATGGCCACCAAAAGAATATTTTCAATTAAATGCAGAACAGTACCTTGCTTTACAACACTTGGTAACTAACGAACTTGCACTACTCACAGGATATCCAGGTGAGTAGCTTTAATGTGTTTTTTTGTTTTCATAACATCATAAATATTTCAGGTTCAGGGAAAACCCATGTGATTTTAAAATTTATTAATTTGCTCTTACAAAATAAACAAATATGGCACCAACACAATTCAGGGCCCATATTACTTCTTGCATTTACTAATCAATCATTGGACAATTTTATGGAGAAAATACTTCCACTTACTGATTCTTTAGTTCGAATTGGCACACAAACAAAGAGTGAAAAATTGAAGAATTCAGCTAAACTAAATGTGTCAAGGGTCTCATTAGATATAAGAAAAAAAATTAATAATATTGCAGATGAAATTAATAAGGTTGCTAAAGAAGCACAGGCCATCTTTAAGAATGGTGGTCTTATCAGCATCGTTTATCTTGGAATTACAACAATAAGCAACCAAGACATTTATGATAAGTTAATGGGAAATAATGAAACAGAAAGGATTGTCCTGGTAAGTTGCAAATATTTCTTTACAAAAATAAATGAAAAAAAAAAATTTATTTTATAGATGAATGAAATTTTGGGTCTAGAAGAGTATCCACTAACTGATGTTAATTCAGTCTGTTCCCCTATTTATTATGTAACTGTTTCAGATTTACAAGCACGGCATGATAGAAACAGCATTTATTTACAGGTAATTATTTTTTTTTTATAAAAACCTAGACACATAAAAAAGTGGTACAATCATCTGCACAAGTATAACAATAATACATAATACTTACTGTACTAAAACTATAAAGTAGAACATGGGAACTCTAAAAGCTATCAAATAAAGAATACTTTAATTTTGTATTTATTCGCAAACATTAACTGACTTTAGTGCTTGCATGTAAATCTTTCAGTGCTTTAGGTAGCAAATAGAAAAACTTTATCGCAAAATTCTCTGGCTATGGACTCCTGATATTTGCTGTTAACTGAAGTATTTCAAATTCCAAGTTAAGATTTTCCAGCAAGATTCTCTGTATTTTGGCCTCGCAAATAATTTGTCAAAAGTCCTTAAAAGCAATTAAATGACTTCAAAAGTTATAGGTAGTCAAACATTAGAAAAAATAAATGTTCTCAAATATCTCATAAATTATGAGATTTACACTATTTTGTTTGTAATAAAAATCTGCACTAAAAAGGCCCAACATAAAATGTACATAAAATCATCATTCTGCTTAGTTTCACATCATCTTTGAAATAGAACGCAAGGTGAGTTTTTTTACATAGTCTGCACTGTAGATCTAATCCTTAGGTATGTTATGCTATAATTTTGTTGATTATTGTTCGTCCTTCCATATTTTATTTTTATTCATTTATGAGCTCAGTGGAAAACAATGAAATGAAGTCGGCTTCTTCATCGTTTAACTCAAATTCAACGGTTGTATTCTCCGACAAGATATTGAGACACGACTGGCCCTGACACTGTACACCGTGGAATATGATAATTCTACATTTCTGCATTCACAATTGATACCACAATCTTTTTATGGAATTCAGAAGGTATTATCAGGTTCAAACTTGACTAAACCTTCCCCAATGGGGTTGGACTTTGAATAACAACTTATTACAACAAAGAATTATTCTTGAATCTTCTTGCACCACATAACTTCTCAATTCCACTTGATCTCTTGTAGCTTTTGTTAGGCCAAAATAAATTCCGCTGGAAAACCTTCAATTGGATTTTTAGAGATCTAATTTCTTTTGTATAAATTGAGTGGTCTATAAACTGTTTTCTGTAGAATTAATTTTATATGTATATATTTAATGCTTTAAAAAGTTTAAGCATTAATGACTGCTTTCAGTGGAGATTGGCTCATAAAGAAGCCCACAAAAAATTTTATCCCCGAAACGACGTCGATTTCGATAATATCCAAAACTTATCGGGAAATAAGCTGTGGGGATTATATTTCTATCTTGTTGATCGATATGTAAACCAACTTAAAGAAAAACTGAACATAATGGAAGAGCAGAAACGAATTTTAAGAGATAGTTTAACTGAAGAAGAAAATATAGAAAATTCTAAAGAATTAAAACAGAAAATGATTGTTGGCTTGACGTTTTCTGGAGCAGCTTTCAGAAAATCTACAATTGATGCTCTGGACTCATCAATAGTTATCGTTGAAGAAACTTCACACATAGAACATTATCATGTTCTGGGTACAATCCCAAAATCTTGCAAGCATTTAATTTTAATAGGAGATAACAGAGTCTCAGAAATAAACAACTATAGCTTAGTGGATATTTTATCAGAGTATAAATACCCTTTTAAATCATTAAAGAAACAATTCAGAATGAAATCTGAAATCGCTTTTTTATTAAAAACGTTATTTTACCCTGAAATGGTAAATGATGAGTCTGTTGAAAAAATTTCAAGTGTTCCTGGCATTCCAAAGCCTATTTTCTTTATTAATCATTGCCTAGAGAATGATGGCGAGGAAACTATCAACTGGAACAGGGTAGTAAATTTATATGAAATTGAATATTTGGTACAGTTAGCAAAATTCTTATTGTCTAAAAATGTCTCAGCGGAATCAATAACAATTTTAACAATTACCAAATATCAAGCTCTTGAATTCGATAAATTTAAAGAAAATGACGAAACTTTACAAAAAATCAAGAGTTGGTCCATTGATAAATTCCAATCCTTAGAAAATGATATAATTTTGTTGTCGTTGTTTGGAATTAATGAATATTATAGATCATTTTTGACGAAAGAAACTAGACTTCGTGTGGCCTTAAGTAGGAGCAAACAAGGATTTTATTTGATTGGAAATATGGAGAAGTTGTGTAAACAATGTGAAATCTGGGTCCCAATTAAAGAATTGCTGGAAGAAAAGGGGTATATAGGAAATGCTCTGCCTATAAGTTGTTCCTCACATGTTGGAAAAGAATGTGGATTTATTGAAAAACCGGAAGACTTTTCAAATTTGAAAAGTCATTTTCTTACGTGCAGTCTTGAAAATTTAACCATTAATAATTAAGTTTTTATGATTTTTGTATAATCTGTTAATTGTACACTCTATTATAAATTTTAAGTGTTGCAAATAAAAATGTAATTTCTGATGTTAATTTGATTTCAAGTAGTTTTACATAATTTTTAAGTCAATTTTGAGATTTTGTCTGAGTTTTATTTGATTCTAAGATTGATCTAAATAAAACACTAAAACCCCAAATCAATAAAAAGTTATAAAATTAAAACGCGTTTAGTCACCTTACGTGCATTTTATGTTTCTAAACATTTTATCTTAAGGAATTTATGATTAAAATTGTTATCCATTATATATCATTAAAAATAATAAATGTGAAGTTAATGATGAACTAATTAACAGAATTGAAAATACTAAATGTCAAGGTGGTGTGATAGTTTATTACAGTGATATGATTGCATGTTTTTCACTGTCACCAGCTACAGTATTATTACTTGGAAGGTGCGGTAAATTCATTGTAGTCTAAGAGGTGAATGTAGAAAATTGTACACAAAAAAAAGTTTGTTGTAGACTCCATTTCTGGATATTGTACAAATTAACGATTAGAAGAAAGAAGCTTTGCTTATCTATCTTTTCGATTATCCAAGACAATTGTAAAACATAAAAATAGTAGGTTTAAAAACGCGCCTATGCCCGCAATAAACAAATCTACTCTATGGAAAGAGTACTCGCACCAATGCAATTATTAGTTTGCATGGTATTACTATAAAACACTGATCAATTTAAGCCTACACTTGATACTAAAAATAGAATTAAACATTGGATCAAATCCATTAAGTAGATTGTTAGATATTAGTTTGTTATTGTTAAGTATTTGTGGCCCTTTGTGTGAGTTAATGCCTGCATTTTTTTGATACTACTATGTATCTTTGTGTTGAGTAGATTTTGTGACTAAAATATTTCAAATAAAATTTTTTCTTGTGGTCAAGTTATATTAGGTACCTATAATAAACTGACACTGCAAAAACATACCTAGTAGAATTTCCTAAAAGTTAGCAAAGAATTTAATAAAAGCAATATGAATCAGAGCTAATACAAAAGTAAAAAACGGGAGTTTATTTTTTATGAAACCGGCACCGACCTTTCGCTTTTAGGTGTAGTTTTCTCAAAGTAGGTTTTCTAATGTATTGCTGTTTTCAGATTTACCGACTCAAAACCCTGCTTTGAGAAACTGTTCCCCTATCGCAGAAATGTTGCTGTCGGACTTTCAAAAAATAAACTCTGTCCCTGTTGAAAACCTTCAAATTTGAGTTGCAAGTTCGCCTTTGGAGAGAACAAGTTTTTCTTATATAATTTTATTATTATTGAGAATTAGAAAAAAACTGCTCTTACATGGTTTATTCAAAATTATTAAGTCTCGGGACATATTTCGAAACTTTTATTCAATTATATCCTTAATACATTTAGTTTGCGTCTTCAATGGCCAATTTTAGAAGGAAACTTTGTAGTTAATAACAGTAAATTCCTGTAATGTCATTAACACAAATTATCAATTCAAACTTCACTATGAAAAAAATTAAAACATGAAATACTACAACAGTTTTTATAAGGAATGCTGCATGGTTGTGATCGTAGGAGCGTGGTATGTAGATTTACATAATAATGGTAATAAAAACGAAAAAACAAAACCAGAATATTCATTATAAAATTGGACTAGGCCCCAAAATACATATTTATGTTCAAGTAGTAACAGAGACGAATAAAAATAAATAAAAAAAAAATAAAAAGGCACAAACATGCTGAAAATTCCATGTTGCGAGCAGTTAATTAATTAACAAAAAAGTTTATAAAGTAGGTACAAATGAAATCTTCAGCTAAAAATAGCCATTTACTCAAAAGTAGTTTTTTTTGTTTACTATTTACACAAGCAGTCTAACTCCTTTTCACTTGGCTTCGGATACAGCCTCTCAACAATGTTACAACACAAATATTTTTTAGAAACATTGATATCAAACTAAATTCAATAGCACATCTACTCATCTCACTTAAGTATAAATCAATTTAAAACATCACAAAAATATTATTAGAGAAGGTATTCAGTTCGTTTGGTACATATGTATAACGTTTTATATTATATAGCAAAAAATCCTTAAGCAATAGTAAGGATGAAGATAGGTATTTAGAACTTTTTATAAAAGAAAAAACATTCAATTGACACTTAAAATAGAACTAAGAAAAATAACCATGAATTTAAATATAATTAGTATTCATTGACTTACAATATTACATGTGTATTTTTTTAACATTCATACGATTTCAGCTGTTATTAAACTACATAATTATATACATCTCGTAAGGAATCAATCATAATTGTTACTAGTTTTTTAAACTGAAATTAATTTAAGACCTCGCAAGCTTCTTATCAAGATACCAAAATTGTAGATATCTGAAAATTTTAAACTAGCTGACTTTCGAAAAAAAAAAAGACTATATCTTCTTTAGGCAAGATTTTGATACTATCAATAACACATTAAATTTGAATCAAAATTAGTACATTTTTTTTTCGATGTGTAATATTTTATCGCTAGGGTATGGGAATAATTTCATTCGACGGAAGCAAGGAAGTAGAAGTGCGCACTATTCAGTTTTGTTAGGGCTTGAAGAAAAAGAAAGAAGACATGACTGTCAACCGCTCGTTATGCTGATATTAAACTACTAGCTTTGAACACTCATGCAATTTTTCTAAATACGTTATGAAAAATTAATACTAAATATGTAAAATCAGTTCAATCAATACCTGGCGTAATATTTTTACGAAAATTTTGTTACTAAGATTAAATGTTACACATCATCAGCTGCTATTGTAACAAGAGTCCTTCTTTTTCTAAATCAATGAAGTATTTCCTAAAAATATGAGTAAATTTCTTGCGGAGCCGATTGCCCCATGGCGTTGTTTATTACAAATTATTATAGTTGTCGAGTTCACATTTAAAAAGGAAAAGGTGATCTAGTGGATGTTTACTGAGCAATAAAGGTTTTCTATTATTTTTTTGATTTTCTAACAAGTGCATCATCGCGCGAAAAAGACGACTACATTAAGAAGCTGCATTAAGGAGCACATTCAATTTCAAATATTAAACGAAAACCCAGATAATAATGTACAGCATCAACAGGTACTACTGTTTTTACACCTAAAGTATTGCAACTTAACGTTTAAAAAATATGTACGTATTCGAAAAATATGTCTCTGATGAAAACAAGAATTATATAAAAATAGTTGTGTTGTTGATCGTGTGTATAAGCATGGTATTTACAAATAATAAAAAAATAAGATGAGGAAAAACTAGATACAAATTAAACATCTTTTCTTTTTTCTTCTTTTGTTTGGAGGAACTTAAGGAGTGAGCCTACTTTCAAAAAAATACATCGACACAGACAAAACCTCAGCACGTAACTCTTTAACAGTTTTGTTATCATAGAACAGACAGTTAACTTCTACTTTCAAACTTCAGATTCAGATATAGTCAAAAATATAAATAGGTAACAATTTCGTTTATTGTTTTATGTTACCCTTTCACGTCACTTTTCCTCTCCCTTAACCATTCATCGCTAAAAAAGATATTTACTCCCACCTTCTGTAATACTTTTGCCTGTGTGAGTGTATCTTTTTATCGTTATTATTAGTTTTTTCATTATCATAGTAATAATAACCGATCTAATATTACGTAATGGGGGAGGCCTGACCCATGAGAATATCACAGTAAGAACAGCCAATACGGCGAATTATATAAATATTACATAGCAATATTTATATATTTTGTATATTATATTCCAAATTTCTAAAATAAACTATCGCACCTTATAACAGATGAAATTACTCATCATCCCAATATTTATCAATATAAAATTCTACAATTCTATGGATCAGACCGTTTGTAAATATAAGCGGCTACATTTAATTAACAATTATCATTATTATTACAACTATTACTAAGATTAATTATTATTAATTCTCTTTAATACAGCAATTTGCCACAACTACTTTGGAAAATAAGAGTATAATGTATGTGTTTCAAGCTAGAAAATAAAAAAAAAAAAACTTAAATTTATCATTCGTCGAGTCAACTGAATTCTCTTTTCTCTTTTGGATTGATTAATTCGTAATAGTTGTCAACATTTTTCTTCGAATAAAAATCCACACGAATGAAAATGAATTCTAGAACAAGACGACTGTAAAAATTACATAAGCAAACTACTAAATTGGAAATTATTTAAAAATACTTTATTCATGCCTATCAGACCTCGTGTTGAAAGGGCACAGGGAAACAAGTACACACACTCATTTAAGTATAGCGTGTGATTGATATTCGATCAATTTATAATCATCACAATCTTATAAGAAAAATTATTGCATTGATATGGAATCGAACTCGGCAAGCGCACATTCTATCTCTCAATCGAGGATGCTTCTTGCTTCTTCTCTAACTTTTTGTGTTTTCTAGTGGTAATAATTATAAATTAATTTAAGTTAAATTTCACCTGCCTTAACAACAGTAAATAACCATATCTATGGCACAGTACCTTTTAAGTTTCGTTCCTCCCTTTATAATAAAACCGAGAAAACCTAACGCAAACTTCGACTTTCACCTATTAATGTACATATAAGTTTTTCGGGCATTGTAAACATCTAAATCAATTCCTATTAAGTAATAAACAATAATGAAAAACATCGATTTACCTGATAATTTACTATTATTTAGCACATCAAAGCTTTCCAATAAATTTTATAAGCTGTATAATACATTTTATTTATAAGTACATAATTTTTCTTATTTTTTTTTTTTACTGCGGTATATGTATAAAACAATTAATTTTAGAAACTTCAAATGTTCTTATATAATCTAATTTTCAAAATTTTTGTAATACTAGATCATAGTTAAAAAACGAATACCATTTATTTACCACACCACCGTTGTTTTTAAGTATAGGTAGGTGTCTGATTTTTTTTTTAATCTGACAATTAATGTCTATACCTTTCAGGATCTTAGTATTTTAACAAAACGTATAAATCCTAAAAGTATAAATAGAGCCGCAAAGAGTAGTTGTACTATACTTATCTCCCTATGCCCCTTGAAAAAAATATAAATTTAGAGATATCTAATACATATAATTAATTTCTTTCTTTTTTTTTTTTGATTCAGTTAATTAGAGTTTGAAGTACTGACTTAATAACGGAAAATTAAATTAATAATCAAGTATAGATCTCACTTTTTCCATCACGACACAATCTTTTAGTTAATGAATTCGCAGCTCTAATAAATAGTAATTCCCAAAAATAAAAACGTAATTCTACCATCAAATCAGAGTCCATGGTTGAAAAACGTCGATTTATTTACAAATACAGTTTTTTTATATATTTATATATGTATATGTATATATAAATTCATCCACTATCATCCACGTTCCTTACATACTACAAAACGTACCCACTTTTTCTATTTAAAAATCATATTACAAATTAATTAAGGCTATCTAAATAAACATCTTTTGTGGACTTAAACATAATCATAATTTTCTCATTCAAAATATTGTTGTTTTTAAAATAAGTGACTGCGCTGCGCGATTTTTTTGCGTATTATTTATATCATAATAAGTAATAATAATAGCAATATATACAACACTGTTTTTTTTACCTTCACTATTCAATAATATGTACTAAGGTCTCGTCCCCGGCCCGAGGCCTTAGCTCCTAAGCTATCGTTGCTGATTTCGACGAACTGCTTTGATCTTTTTCCGTCCTGCTGGTACTGACGATGATGGATCGGTGGTTGCACTGAAAACATTTTTAAAAATATTATTGCATAGAAAATTTAACTAATTTAAAACAAAATACTTAAACGTTTAAAAACCTAAAAAGCATTTCGACACCCAAGGTGTCATCCTCAGTTAGAGACTGAACCTTTTTATGTAGAATTTTGGGTTTAGTGTTTTATTTAGTAAATTCCACAAAACTCAATTTAATTTTATTGTATGAGTTACTTTAATGAACAACAACAATACTCACGAAAATGTGGGTGGTACAGCACCAGTGAAATTGAAATTGGGCTTTACATTTGCGTTAAACTGAGTAGATCCGAAACTGAAACCCCCACTATTTCCCGGTGCTTCTGGAACCTATAAAAATCATTGGCAAATCATTACTGACATTATAAAATAAAATAAATCGTTTGAAAAACGTTTTTATTTATTTCAATTAAAACGAAAAATCGAAAAAATAAATATTGTATTCTTCAAATGACAAGTTTTTTTATCCTTAATGTAAGACCGTACTTGAGAAAAATTGAATTTTTGAAAAAGTATGACCAACCATGCTAAGAAAAAGTTAGTGTTACAACGCCAAAGAATAATGAACAATTTAACCTAAAGAATTAATAGTAAAAATAAAGTTTATTTTATATTTTTATTCTCATTTAAACTAAAATATGCAATGTTTTCTTATAGTATTTAAACAGGATCCTGTACCAGAAAGCATTGAGCTCCATACTTAAAAGATTAAATATTTTGTTCAATATTCAATACGTATTTTATTAATTTTCAAGCACTGAATTTTCAATTATTTCAAATTAATTGTGCACTTACCGCGTTAGTACCCGTACCACCGAAGCTAAATACTCCAGGCGCAGCAGATGGTCCTGATTGAGGTGCAAAATTAAAACCTCCCTTGGGTGGAACGTTTCCAAAATTGAATCCGCCGTTCTGTAAAAGTTGAGGAGGCTGTTGGGAAACAACCGAGGACGCCGCTGTAGCGGAACTATTTCCAAATATACTAGTAGTTTGTTGCTGCTGCTGCTGCTGCTGTGAAGAATCAAACATCGGTTTGAAATTAAAACCAGGACCACCGACCGTTGGATTACTGCTTGCACCAAAACTAAATCCTGCCGACGAAGTACTGTTGCTACCAAAATTGAATTTTTGTTCTTGTTGCTGCTTATTTCCTTGTTGCTCGAAGGAATAACCTGCAGCAGGTTTCGTTACTTCCGTAGTTTGCTGTGGCTGTTGTCCATAATTAAACGGTTTCGTAGACGTATCTTGACCAAAACAAAACGCTCCTTGGTCGGTCGTAGATGTTACAGGCATTCTAAAAGTAGGAGCAGGAATAGACGACGTAATGAACGGAGTCGTTTGAAAAGAAGACGAGGCTCCACCAAATGAAATTGCCTGAGTTGGTGTTGTACCGAATTTAAAAACCGCATCGGTTTTTTGTTTGTTGTCTGTATCTCCAGTGCTGTTGTTGCTACCAAAAATTGATGATGTACTGGAGTCCGGTTTAGCTGTTCCAAATGCAACTGGTGTTGGTTTTCCAAAAGTGGACGATCCAAAAATAGGCGCCGGCACTTCTACCTTAGGAGGAGCTGGCGACCCAAATATCGATGTGCTCGAATCTGGCTTCGCCGATGTTCCGAATATAGACGACGGCTTGTTTGTTGTTGCTGGGCTTCTCAATCCGGGTACTGGAGCAGGGACCGTATTCGTTTTCGTCGTGCTAGAGTCTGCCTTGTTTGCAAACATCGTCGACGTAATAGTGGCAGAAGAATCCGACTTTTTTTCTGGAACATGTTTGAATATGGGTGTGGGAATTACGTTAGTTTCAGTTGGCGCCTTCGAATCAAAATCTTTCACTGTAGAAGCGCCGAAAACGAAAGACGAAGGAGCTGACGATTCTAACGTCTTGGTGGTAAAACCGAAACTGGAAGTGGTGGTGATAGTTGTACTACTCGTAACCGTTGTTTCGGTGGAATTCGCTGTACTTACAACAGATTTCGATGAGGGGGTGGCAACAGAAGATGTAGTCGTAATTCCGAAACAAAAAGTAGGTTTAGAATTATTATTCGATTCCGATGTCTCTGTGTCCTTTTTGTTGTTATTGGTCGCCCCATTGAAAAGCACAGGCTTGGTTTCATCCGAAGCAGACACGTTTTTCTCATTAGGTACTCCAAAGGAGAAGTCTTGCTTTGATGTCTTTTCTGTCTCTCTCAAGTCCTTAGGAATGCCAAACGTAAACCCTTTGGATGTGACAACGCCGACAGCGTCATTAATTCCAAAATTGAATGTGGACATAGTGTTTTTATTTTCAGAAACTGACTTATCCGTTGATTGAAGTTTTGGACGAGGGGTCTCGCAACATGCGCACTTGCCTTTAGTTTCTGGATTTCTGACCATACAAATGGGGCATTCCCATTCATCCTTTTTCATTTTAAATGCGTCCGCAAAACTAGTTGACTTTTTGGGCGCGTTTGGATTGGGCGATTCACAAGCCGCACATTTGTCTAAGTCATTTTTATTTCTAATCATACAAACACCGCACACCCATGTATCTGATGGAGGTTTAAATTTGTCTCCGAAACCTTCATTGGTTGTATGCAAAAAAGAATTTTCAATAATAGGTTTTGGAGTCGTACTTGCCACACAATTTGTGTCCATATTCTTGTTTCTGACATCCGACGTCAGTTTAAATTTGTTACCAAAATCGTGGTTTTTTATAGAAGCAGTAGCAGTAGGCAGCGGTTTCGATGCCCTTTCGGCCTGACATGCAGCACACTTGTCTCTGTCTTGTACGTTTCTTATTAGACATACGTTACATTCCCAAGTGTTGGCTGATGGTTTAAATGCACTCATAAGGTCCATTTTCGCCGTCTGAAGAAAATTGATTCCGCTCTGAGATTTTCGTTTTAATTCGTATTTACTGGACGAGGACTTGAAGTTATTTTGAACTTCTTCTTTCTGGTTCAATGGCTTACTAAAGACGAAGTCGTTGCTGCCAATTATACTCTTTAAATTATTCGATAACAATACAACAGGTTTTGCAAATTTGAATGGCGCATCATTCACTTCGAATAGTTTCGGTTCTTCGCTTGTGATCTTCTTTGACTCGTTGGTGATGGATATCTTCGTGACTTGTTTTTCCCTTTTGGTTCCCTCGTCCGTTTCAGTTTCAGTTTCTTTCGTAACTACTCGCGTTGACGTGGTGGTAACTGCTTTTGTTACCATCCCAGATGCCGACGTGGTGGGTAAGATGCCAAAATCAAACTTGGGCAACGTAGTAATGGGTAACGCAATGTCTGGTAGTTTTACTTGCTCCACCTTTTCCTGTTCCATTGTGTCGGTTGTTCGTTTTCGTATATTCGACACTTTATTTCTCATTTTGTTCACGTGTTTCGATGTTGCCTGTTCGTCGTCTTTATCTCTCAGTTTGTATTCATCTGCGTTTTGAGCAGCCTTTGAAGTAGCAGCTATCTGTCTCACAGCAACAGTACTATCTTGTAGTTTTTCTTTTAATTTCATTTTTAATAAATCAGGGACTGTGGGAACTTGAAGTTCCTTACTTGAAGGTGTGTTTTTAGGTTCGCGTACAAAGTAAGGATTTGCTCCTGTATATTTTGATAAAAGGCCATCCCTCTTTGTAGTACCCCTTCGTAACGAAGGGTTCGGTATTTTCTTGGCCTCCGAAACGGGTGTCGTATACTGTTCTAGAGTGTCCAAAATTCGCCTGGCCGTTTTGCTTAATGTGGCATTCTCGGTTTTTACAGATTCGTTAGCTGGTTTCACTTCAAATGCGTTTCGAAGAGAATTCTTAATATCGGCGTTTTTCTTCAGTCTATGAGAATAGGCAGATGCCCCTCCGTATGTTGTACGGCCACCGTAAAATGGTGAATGTATTATTCTTTTGGTTGTCAGGGTTCTGTCCACAAAATCTGGGGAGCCAAAGGTAGAAGCGTTGAATGATGGCCTTCGAGAACTAAGGGAAGAGTTAGAATGTGGACTGACACCTCTCTCACTGAACAGCGATCGAGTTTGGCTAATTACTGCTAAAAATTAGAAAATAAAATGCCTTAACGATTTTATTATTAAAATAGTAAACTAGCTTTTTAATAAGTAATATATATACTGACCATGATGCAAAATGTTAATATTATGAAAAAATAATATATATATAATTTAAAAAATAAAATCATTTAAAGATTCTCTAAACTAGACTTAAAATTTTCTAAAGTTTTATCACTAAATAAACTACATGCTTCTAGCAAATTGAGAACTGAACATACAGATATTCTATTATATACAATCATCAAAGGGCAGCATCATCTTTTGATAAATACCACATGGTATAGGAAAATTCGTACAAATACCTTCAGCCGTCTTTTCATTTAATAATTAAGTAATAAAGTCCAATAAAAGCATTTTAAAGATTTCGAGGTGTATTAAGCATTGTTCAAAAGATTCTGAGAGTTTGGTTAATTTAGGACAGAGCAACAGATGATATTTTCAGATATACGCGACTGAAAAAGTATCTTCACACATTCACCTAATTACCCACATTTGCCATGAAACACAAAAAGAAAAAATTCCAACATAAAACTACGTAACTTGTATGTTCAGTGAACATTTTGCCTATAGTAGTAAAATAATGAATATTCATAAAGATGATTATACATACATCTTTCTCTTATTTCCCGGCTTGGATTAGAATCATGAGACTTGAACTCCTCTATGTGAGGTTTTTTACTTATAGTGGCTTCTCTACTACCATTTCTAGCCATCGAGGAGTAATCACTTGTAGATTCATCACTATCAGAATTCTTGTCACCGTTTATATTAGTTTCAGTAAGCTTTCTCTGATCTGTTTGCACTGTAACACCACTAGAAATTAACAATTTCCTTGACTTGATACCTGAAGGACCTGCTTCCGGCTCAGACAAACTATTAAGCATACGCTTGGAAGCCTTTTTATTATTAACGCTAACACAATTGTCACTTATAACATCCAAACCACTAACTGGTGCATAGTGTATGTGTGGAGTAGTTGTGGAGAAGTTGTTTGACAAACTATTTTCAATTTTTTCCCTAGATGGGATCCTGGCTCGTTTCAATGGTGGTTCGACTTGATAGATATCACCATCATCTTCCCTGGATCGTCCAGAATTATCCTCACTGCCAAACCACTTGCTTATAGAAGCCGGAATGAGGTCAGAAACGCGTGATTTTACTTTCTTCACAAAAGACTACAACAAAGCATACATTACACAATACAGCACCTACATACCATATATAATTATAAAAACAACTATATTTTTGAAACTGTTAAACCATTGAGACCCAAATGCGCATTTGTTTTTAAAAGCTTTTACTTTTTAACTAGATTTTTCCTGACGTATCTATTTTTGGATAAAACTCACGCGCCAATAATATATTCGTGCTTCAGTAATTGTAAAAAGTGTAACTACCTTTTCAGAATCATGTTCCATTGAAGACGAAGAAACGTAGAAATTAATGTCGTTTTGTTTTGCCATTATTACTTGAACGTATAAAATTATATCTTGCACTATTTCACATTTTTAAAAACGATAATTTTGTGATTTTCCCTTACTGTGAAATAAAATATGGCGGACTAAGCAAGGTTAGCTTGAAACTTGCAAACCCGTCAACACAAAAAAATTCCCTGCTCTTTATCTGGACCAGATTTAAAATATGGCGGTAAAACAATTTTATATTTCTTATTAAAATTTCTACTATAGTCCTACATTATTAATTGCAAAATACCTACTTTTTTTGATTTACGAAAGTCCATTTGAATTTCCATTCCCTTAATACAAAAACTAATGTGATTTGTTCAAGTACACTACAAATTACGGCATTTTGAGCGCATATGCGTGTCAAATATTGACAATATTTTTAAAGGTTCAAAAAACTGTTCATTTGTTCTATATACAAAAAAGAAAATTGCTTCAAAAAGAACGCCAATTTTTTAATGTTTATTAGGCTATATAGACATTTTTACAAATAATAGGCACTAACTTTATTATTTATTAATGTAGCATAAAATTGCAACAAAAATATTTTTTTTATTCCATGAAGAAATATGCAACATTGTAATAACAATATGTATAGATTTTATACACTTGTACAATAACAGTTAAAAAAAAATACAATACTTCGTTTGGTGGACATATTAAATTTTTTTAACTGCCTCTGCTTGTTTTATAGTTAAAAACAAAAAATACATAAATTTGTGAGATTTTATAATACCGTATAAGAAATGGCAGTGTTTATATTTACATATATCAACATTGTATTACAGTAATTTATTTTTATTTATGTTATATCATTAATTAAATTAGATATTATTTTTATTAAGACCGAAACATTGTATATTTCATTAGTAATTATTATAATACAGAATTCTAATCGACTTGTTATAATTCAGTTATGTGAATTAAATAAATTCACTGAGTAAAAAAAAAAGAAACTCTAAAAGCAAACAAAATTCTTACTATGATAATTATGTTAGAGTGAAAAATAATTAATTAATTAGTAACTAGCATAATAGGAAGATTAATTAATTAAATATGCATTATTCTCCTGATTACACATATAATACGTAATGTTATACCTATACAAGCAAAATGGTGTTCATCATATATACAGGGTGTTCCATTTCCAAGTAAAATTACAAAACAATTTTCTTTTGGTATATCTAACAGAAGTATTTTTAAAATAACAAAATGGGTTAATAATATTGCAAAATTTAAAGGTAGGTAAGATTTTAATATTTGGTGCAACGCTTACTATTGCGACTGACCCCTCGTTAGGAAAACTATGAGTAAAGAAACAGAATGGCAAAAGTCGCTCATGTTGGAAACCACCGGTTCAAAAGATTTAAACAAAACAGTGTTATGCTCTTTACCTTGGCAAATATATGAAAAAAATGGTTTAACTGTTAATAATTAATAATAACTATTAGGAATGAGTCGGCTACCCGGTATCTATCCGGTACCCGGCGGATCCAGTACTTTTTAGGATCCCGCCGGGTACCGGATAATGACGCCGGGTACACGGCAGTGCCGGGTAGTTCTACCAGAAAAAAAAAGCCTACACCACTAATAGTAATTTAATAAGTACAACAAAAACCTACTTAATGAAAACTGGTAATTAAAATTGTATTGGGATACGTCCTTTGTCATAATTTGCATTATTTATTGATTTCTGTACTCTATTATTTGCTATTTAGATGTTCTTATATTCACTTTTTCTCTTGGACAAGAATACATCAGTATGGCCGAACTGTTACAATTTCCCTCTCATGTTGGTATATCAAGTTTTAATTAACGATAGCTTATTAGTATGGTTTTGTCACCTAACAGACTTATTAGTATTTATAAATATAATAAGCTAATTTCAACAGTATCAATTTAATTGTCTGGTTGAAAATCCGTCAACCAATAATTACAATTTCATTAGTTTTTATTGTTTAAACGACTTTTTGAATGGGACTTGATAATTGCTTTAGGACGTTGGTAAGGGTGACATTTAATAGAAAGCTCGCCAGAACGAAAACATAAACCATTAACCGTGATTTTACCGAGTACCCGACGCAGCTAATGCCGGTTATCCGGTACCCCACAAAATTCAGTGAATCTCTAATAACTGTCGTGTGACTTAAATTATGGTAATATTGAAGATTGAAATTCATCTCAGCTAAGTAACGATTTTCAAATATCAGAGCTATCACATCATGTACATTATTATTACAATACGATTTTAGTTAAAACCACGCAGTTAATCTACATAAATTTGGTATTATTGAACAGATTAATTTTTTTGTTGCATTAAAAGCAGTTTGAATTGAAGTACTTCATTATTAAGTTATTTTATATTAAATTTTATTATTATTATTGAATTGCTTTATTTTGCTGCCTCCTACCAGTACTATTCTCTATCACCCAAGTATCAGTAGTGGCCATTTCAGCAGTACCCCGACCACCATACTAACATCAACCACAGATACTGCAGCAGTGTACTTAAGCAACAGGATGAATAATTAAGCGACAACTGNTATAATATTCTTCTTTCTTGTAAAGCTCTGCTTGGTATAAGTCCAGCCCTCATGTTACGGTCACTCTCTTTGCGAGCTTGCCACCTTGAAGAAAAATCATTAATTTAGTTTAAGAGAAAAATTTCTCCAAATTACCAGTAAGCATCATCCTGGCAGACAATATGCAAGATATCTCCTTTTTGAAAATCAAGTCCGGCTTCTTTACAAGGAATATAAGGATCAGTGGTTGCATTGTAATCAAAATGTGCCCTCACCCTCACTTTGCTCTCTCTTACACTCGATTTTCCATCAGATGGGACGAGTTTAAACGTAATTGTACCCTCAGAATTTTTCTAACACAAAATAGCGTTTTTTTTAAAAATTGCACAGAATTAAAATATAAAAGCTTATTTAAACTTACAAGAATTTGTAAAACATCGTTTGGTGTTTTTCCTTCAACATTTATTCCATTTACTTCAACAACTTCATCCCCCACATGAATAAGTCCAGATCGATCTGCAGCACCCCCGTGCATTACTCTGGCAATGATTATTTTTCCAGTTTCATCATCAGTTTTAATGGTTGCACCCTACAACATCAATATTCTGGTTAAAATGTAAAATAAAAAAAAATTATGCACAATGTAATGAGAAAATCATTTTTGAAAACTCTTTTTTAAACTAATTACAAGCAAATACTTACAACAATTGGTTCAGGACTCTGAACACCAGACTTTGAGAGCACAACAAATTAAATAAGTAATTATTTAATTAATCCTGTGCATTCTTCTATTTGTATTTTAAAAAGCTATAAATACATTTTTCATGTATAAAAATGAAAAATGTAATTACATATATTAAATTTTTAATTTAGCGAAAATAATCATAATGTTCAACATATTCTAAATAATGAAAACCACAGAGAAAAACTAAATCACCCTGCATACTCTACTATTTGGAAGGGAAAACATACATACCTTTGTATTAATTAATTATTTTGGTTACATGCTATAAAAATCCGATTGCGTATTAAGTATCACGTCGATTTCAATCAGTACCAACAAGCGGTCACCGGATTTGAAATCCAATTGAGAGACTGGTGTTTCACTAATTCTATTAAAAACAAAAACAATAAATATTCGTGGTAGGTGCATTATCTTTGGTATTAAATTCTTTTCGTTTCCTCTTTTCTACTGAACCCACGAAGCGGGCACCCAAAGAGGCTCGGTCTCAACACGATTCACTGCCTCAACAAGTTGTCTCAAAGCTTTTGCAAGATCTTCATTAACGATGGTTTCATCGAATAAATGCGAGTACAAGAACTCTATGCGAGCTGAGGATTTCATAATTGTATTAAATTCTTCTTCCTACAAAAATTCCTTTTGTTAAATAATTAATTATAAATAAATTTAAAAAATTAAAATTAGAAAAATTATAAGTTATCAAAAACACAAATTTTAAAAAGTAAAAAAAAAATCATAATTACTGTAAATCCTCTAGAATTATGAACATCGAACGTGGATCGAGCACTGGCAGCATTTCTTGTCTCTTTAAGGACATCCAACCGTGGCGGTTTTACATAGATAATATACGGTTTTAACTGGGCATTCCTTAGCATTTTCAAAGCCTGGTAATGTGGGTTTAAAATACACACATAACCCGAATTAACCAAGGCTTTTACGCTCTCTGAAGACGTTCCATACAGATTACCTTTATATTCTCCAAATTCTATAAATTTACTTGCTTCAATATCTTCTTCCATTTTTTCACGTGAAACGAAGAAATACTCCTTCCCATTGATTTCTCCTGGTTTCATTGGCCTGGATGTATCTGTTATAAAAATATAAATTATTTTTTCTGAATAATTAAGCTTTAATCAACTAAAAACTCACATGGTATGGGTGTCTTGTATTTTTCCGGATGGGTTGCAATCAGACGTCGTTTGAGTTCATTTCTTCCGACACCTGGGGCCCCAATAAGTATAATGGGTCGGTATATACCAGGTCTTGGATAAAGTTTTGCCACTTCCTCGTACGTTGGTATCTCTTCGCGATCGAAATCATCGTTCTCTGAAGTGTCATAGATAATCTTTTTAGTTTTAGAATTGTTCGTGCAAATTGACGGGGAATTCAGGGAGTAGTTACTGCAGGTTAACAGAGGCAAAGCTGAAACAGAGCAAAGCCCTATCCCATTGGGGCGCTATTAGAAAAGCATGCATATTCATGATTCATAATTTCAAAGATTTGTTTTCATTATAACTATATACGATAAAAAGATTGTTAAAAGAAAGTAATAACAACTAAAGATACGAAAATTAAGTACGAAGTACAGTCACACTTTAAACAGTATTGCTAAGTGAGTATGGTGAAATCTACATTTATATTTGTAGCGTAAGATACCCCTTGTTTTACCCAATATTAGCAAAATAAGCCAATGACCTTTAAAATACAATATATAATACTTGGCTTAATTTTTTTTTCAGTACATCTAATCTAATCTCTTAAAAAAACTTTGTAACATTATTTATGTCACTGAAAGTATATATTTGTCCGTTTAGGAAATTATTACCTGTACTCTATGAAGGAAATGCTACAAACTTGTGTTTGTTACATGCAAAAAAGCAGTGCCACCTAAGTGCCCAAAAAAATAAAACAACTACTGTACCATTTCCATTTTCCTTAGAAGTCTGATTTCTTTCATATAATATTCTTCTTTCTTGTAAAGCTCTGCTTGGTATAAGTCCAGCCCTCATGTTACGGTCACTCTCTTTGCGAGCTTGCCACCTTGAAGAAAAATCATTAATTTAGTTTAAGAGAAAAATTTCTCCAAATTACCAGTAAGCATCATCCTGGCAGACAATATGCAAGATATCTCCTTTTTGAAAATCAAGTCCGGCTTCTTTACAAGGAATATAAGGATCAGTGGTTGCATTGTAATCAAAATGTGCCCTCACCCTCACTTTGCTCTCTCTTACACTCGATTTTCCATCAGATGGGACGAGTTTAAACGTAATTGTACCCTCAGAATTTTTCTAACACAAAATAGCGTTTTTTTTAAAAATTGCACAGAATTAAAATATAAAAGCTTATTTAAACTTACAAGAATTTGTAAAACATCGTTTGGTGTTTTTCCTTCAACATTTATTCCATTTACTTCAACAACTTCATCCCCCACATGAATAAGTCCAGATCGATCTGCAGCACCCCCGTGCATTACTCTGGCAATGATTATTTTTCCAGTTTCATCATCAGTTTTAATGGTTGCACCCTACAACATCAATATTCTGGTTAAAATGTAAAATAAAAAAAAATTATGCACAATGTAATGAGAAAATCATTTTTGAAAACTCTTTTTTAAACTAATTACAAGCAAATACTTACAACAATTGGTTCAGGACTCTGAACACCAGACTTTGAGAGCACAACAAATTAAATAAGTAATTATTTAATTAATCCTGTGCATTCTTCTATTTGTATTTTAAAAAGTACTGTACTATGCATGTAAAATTTTGTTTTAATAAAATTTATATTGCCTTTATGATTCATTAACTTATCACTTATAATAAACAAAATTGGTTCTTACCAGTGGTTCGTTGCTCTTGACAAGTTGGACAATTTTAACTGTCTCTTCTTCTTCATCTGCTTCTGTTGGAATTTCTGGCAAGTGTGGATAATAGTCTTTTTGTGCAACTGTATCATGTGCACATAAGAGACCCTAAGACCCAATTTTAATATCAATTACTTTATCCTTATAAATGCATTTCTATATAAACTTTTTTCTCTGTTACCTGAACATGTGGTTTTTGAAGTAAATAAAATAATTCTTTACAATCATCAGAAATTGGTATTCTAGACACTAAGACATCTAAAACGTCTACCATCACTTGCATTGATGTTGATAGCATCGGATAAAACTTATCACTGGTTCCATTGCTGATTATCTTGTTGTGTACATTGAATAAGGCATGAAGTTCTTTGGATTGTAATAAATTATTTAAAAAACCAAGTTCTTCTTCTGTTGAAGGTAATTCTTTTGCTTGTTGCAAAGATGTTAGCAGTTTAGTTAAAGCTGATAAAAAAAATAATTCATGTAAAAAAAATTAAAAATACAATTGAAATTATATAATATCCTTATTAATATCAATGAAACTCTCACCTGGATCACGTTTTTCTTTTACCTCACTAGCCATAACTTCAGCAGTCATCCTAAAAACCTACAATTACTGCCTTTTTCATGGTTAAAAATAGTTTAAGAATTGTTAAATGAAAAAATAGCTGGAAAAATCCACAAATTAGCTAATCATTTGCCGATTCTTATTGATGTTAAAAATGTCTATTAAAATGTACCATTCGCTGATATAACAATTTTTTTTAACATACCTCGTTCATTAAACTAGTTTATCAGGTCATCGCGTGCAACATTTTGATTTCAACTCCTGTCAATTTACAATTTATTAAATAATAATAGTATCAGTTGGTGATCAGTATTTTAGTATGCACCGATTTTAAGAAATGTGAAGTCTTCTTAATTAAATTTTACATCTCTAATTTGCCACTTTAATGTTAATGAAGCTCTAATTTTACATTATTCTGTTATTATCATAGATTAAGTTATAAGTAATTATTAAATTGTGATTATATTAACCGATTATGAAAACGTATTATATTATTATTCATCTATGAACTGATGAACTCTATTGTCCGCTGCTTTGTATGAACCGTGTATGGACCATAGATAACATGAGGCCAATATGAGCATATACCACCATGGAGTCTATGAGTCACATCTAATTGTAAATGCATCTAAAGCCTAGACTAGAAAAAGCCATAGACAAATCTAAAGCTAAAGATTAATATAACTCACAAGCAAGATTAAAATTTTTAACACAAAATTTGAAATACTAACAAAGGTCGTCAGTGTTTAGTTTTAAAAATTTTTCATGATATACCAATATTTAATTATAAACGTTTTCGACTTCGAATAATTTAATAAAAAAATAATAAATAATTTAACATAAAATACAAATTTTGTATCTGGAAAACAGTAATAATAATAATAAAAAATAAGTAGAACAAAATTTTGAACGGGCAAAATTGTCCTTAATACGGTATTTAATCAAGATATAACATTGTATAACATGGACATACGAATTCTCAAAACTTAACATTATTCATATTTGAGAATATTTTCTTTCACTCGATATACGAATTCAATATAAGAACAAAATAATACGTTAATAATTTTATACAATTCATTAATTACTTTTATGGAATAAATGATGGGACCAATTATAGACTCCATAGTATAGTATGGAATTCGATCATTTCTTGATTATCCATATCCATATCTTTAAACCATAGATAAGATTATGGACATTTTCGCTTATGTAAATATTATCCTATGATCACAGTAGAGCAGAGAGCGCTTAATAATTTATTAAGTACAACAAAATGAACTTAATAACAAAAAGTAAAAATAATTACCATACAATTATTATATTTTAGAAATACAGTAATATATTTATCAATTTTCATATTTTAATTTAATTTACATACCTGCACAAATTATTGTTTTTAAATTGATTATGCTATTGGAAAATGCTTAATATAACTAATTCATATTATCTATGCTAATTCATTGTAGTTCATGAATTATTCAATTGTTTTCTTCTTTCTCTGTTGGTCATGGTCTTGTTAATTTCTTAAAGGTTATTTTCAACATCTAAAGTTCTATTCAGCTCTATTGTTCTATTGCCGGAAGACTTCAAATATGGCTTCCTCAGGTTAGTAATTTTAACTAGTCACGTGTAAGGTAAAATATAATTAAATGTTAATCTAATTTGTTCAATATACTATTAGAATATTTTTGCAATTTCAGTATTTGCTTTTTAATGTATTTTAGTGTTTTACTTGTGCCCTCATTATTAACTGTGAACCACACGGAACCAGTAACGCGTGGCAGTTTTTCAAACCGATTTCTTTCACGATTTTTATTTATTTAGGGAAGAAAGGCAAGAAAACAAAAGGCAAAACTCTTGCCTTAAATGATTTTCTTCAAGAAACTACCGGTTCTACCCCTTCATTACCCCTTCGAAAAACCAACCTCAATTGGGCAGATGATGTTGAAGAGCCTTTGGGTATGTAATAAAAAATTGAAAATAAAATAGACATGATTTCTTTTTTGAACCTTGACTACTGTGCATTCTAATGCTGCGCAAAATCGTAAAGCAATTTCTTACAATATGGTAGTTATGTTTCTGATTATTTAGTTATTAAATGTGATGACATTATTTGCCAAGAATGGTGTTTAAGGTCTGTGATAATCTCACATTTGGAGCTTCCAACAGAGTATCTGTTACTCAGTAATTAGCTTCGGGAAGGTCTGAGTGAGCCATTTATTCTCTAGATGAGAACTTGTGTGTTACAAGGCTGGGGAACCAGAAATATGCATGAAAAGCTTATTTTAGCCTGGGACTGTTTTTAAACATGAGGTGAAGAGCTTAGCATGTTGGAATCCCCAGTGGCCGGCAATTTTAGTGCAATTTGTGAGCTGGCATTTGTCAGAACTCAATTCAGACTAGTCTGTCACAGACCTTTTTATCATTCTTACTTTAGCAAATACAAAGCTGATTAATTTTTATTATTTTTTATGAATTGTACTAATTCAATGTAGATTTTATATGTAATTTATTTCTGTTGTTTTAAGAATATGAAACTCGCCCTAAAATCAATGTGGTGCTCCCTACAGCGCCAAAGGCGTCACGAGGTGTCGATGAATATAATGAGCGGATACCAAAGGAACCTCCTTTTATAGCATATTTAACAAATTTGCCTTATGATGTTGATGAAGAAGAAATTGAGAGTTTATTTAGTCATTTAAAGGTACAAGTCTCTTTGTGTTTGAAAAATAATTTCAATGATAAGTAATTATAATAATTTTATTTAAACTTTACTTATTGTTTATTACCAATTAACATTGTTTCCCTGCAATTATGACTTTGATAAATCAAGTTATTGAGATAATTAAGAAGTAATGTACTTTAAATTTCATTTATTTAAATTAATGTTTTTTAGATAGCAAATACAAGGTTTCCTAAAGAAGATCGTGCAAGCGATTTGCCAAGATTAAAAGGTTATGGTTACATTGAATTCGAAGACAGGGACAGTCTAACTTCTGCACTTTCAATGCCGGATTGTGTAAGCTGTCTTAAAACTATCGGAGAACGATTGTATACAATTATTTATTTTTCTTAATTAGATGTTAAAAAACAGACGGATAAGAATTGAAGTGGCAACAAGTTTAGACAATGACAAGCAAAGGCGCGGTCGAAATGACATGAATCGTGACAGAATTGAAAGGGGTGACACAGGGGGCGACTGGCGATCGGGCCCTCGAGGGTCAGACTTTTCAGATTTTAGCAGGGATCGCGAGGGAGGTTTTAACAGAGACAGAGATGGGGGCGGAGGCTTTAACAGAGACAGAGAAGGCGGCGCCGGTTTTAACAGAGATAGAGAAGGTGGCGGAGGTTTTAGCAGAGACAGGGATAGAGATGGAGGATTTAATCGAGAAAGAGAGGGTATGTATATAGACTTTTAAATTTAATTTTTTTGTTTAATAAAAAAAAAACAATAAAGGTGGCTCTTGGCGTGAAAGTTCAGACAGACCGTCGAATAGAGGCTTTAACAGGGAAGGATTTGGAGATCGGGGCCGTTTTGGGGGCGACCGTGACGGAGGCGAAAGGAGAGGAGGTTTCAGTCAAAGACGGGGAGACAAAGACGACAGAGACGGTTTATCACGAAATAAAGACGAAGAGAAAGGTATACATCTACATATGAAAAAAAGAAAAAGAACTGCTGTCTAAAGTTAATCTATTTCACATAGCTGAACCAAGGATTAGGCCTAAATTAATGCTGGCACCTAGAACGAAGCCGATCGCTCCATCCGATACAGAAGACATACAACAAAAACAGCAACAAACTCAGAATATCGATAGCGGTGCACCACCGCCTGCACAGACTGCTGCATCTATTTTTGGGGCCGCACGACCGGTTGATACGGCAGCAAGGGAACGCGAAATCGAGAGCAAACTGGCAAAGGAACATGAAGATGCTCCACGAGAATCAAGTCGTGAAAGAAGTCGAGATGATGCTCCCCCAACAGCAACAGTAACAGCTAGAAGAGAATGGTCAACAGGTGCTGCAGTACGAAGAGTAAGTAGATTAAATAAAGCAAATTAATCTGAAAACTAATTGTCTGTGTCTTGTTTTCAGGGATCCCCTAGAAGAGGATCAACAGAACGCCGAAGATATTCTCCTCGAAACTATTCTCCCCGTAGAAGAACGTCACCTCGCAGATATGGCTCACCCGCACGATATCGCAGAGGATCACCGAAAAGACGATCCCCAGGTGGCTATTATTCTCCGAGGAGAGGCTCCCCATCTTCCAGACGATATTCCCCTGTCACACGTAGATCTCCAGGTCGATATTCCCCAAAGAGACGAGACTCTCCCGGACGTTATTCTCCACGTAGAAGGGACTCTCCGGGACGTTATTCTCCAAGAAGGAGAGACTCCCCAGGACGTTATTCTCCACGTAGAAGAGACTCCCCAGGACGTTATTCTCCCCGAAGAAGGGATTCTCCTGGGCGAAATTCCCCTAAGAGAAAAACATCGCCTGGAGCGCGTTATTCACCTAGAAGAAGAGACTCACCATCACCAACCAACAGAGGCAATAATGTGCCAGAACAACGAACACCACAAAGGGACGTTTCTCCCGAACGCTATTCTCCTGACAGGAGATCACTATCGTCCTCCCCCTCGAGAGTTCGTCCAACTAGATCAGAAGATGAGGACAATAATAATAGGAATCGAGCAAGAAGAAGAAGCAGAGACGGATCGTCGTCTTCAATTGCTTTATCTCCAGAAGATCGAAGACAGTTTTCATCGCGTGGTAATGTGGATGCTTCATCTTTGAATGAAAAAAATGGTAGTACCGCCGGTTACGGTAAAAGGGAGACTGAAGGTGGTCGTCGAAGGAAAAATTCGCCAAAGGAAAGATCCCAGCAGGCGTCAGACAAACGTAAAGGAATCAAAAAGTCACCAGATAGATCCAAAAAGATAGATAAAAGCTCAAATGATACTAAAAAGCATGGTAAGTACTACAATTTTTCGGGTTTCATATCAACTGAATTTCCAATCGTCTCTACATAGTAGTAATAGTAGATGTTGATTTAATTGTTTGTTGGCAGATGATAAGAAAAATGCAACCAAGGACAAAATTAGGAAAGAAAAACGGTCAGTAAAATGTGTCCTTTCGATGAAAAATTAAACTATTAAATTGTTTCATTACTTTCAGAGAACCTCACGAAATGCCCAAGTTAAAAGAACCGGAGCCCCCGAATTTCGCTGTTTCGAACAAATACGCTTTTTTAGCAGAATGTGCGGACGACGTTGACGTATCCGATTAAAGAAATAAATAATTAATAATAATAACAAAAATAAAACGCGAATATCAGCAAACAATATTTAAGTAAAAATATATAAATATAAACATAAATATGCGCGTGTGCCGTCGTATGACTTTCTAGTCTGGCCAAACTGAATTAATTATTACTTATATTTTAGTTTTTATTATTATAGTTATCGTGCCGTTTGTCTTAATTTTTCATTTGCTGTCGATGATTGAGAATACTGTACAAATATTGGAATTAATTAATTAATCAATTATTTTTTCTATTCAATAAAAAGGTCGGTGTCGTTCACATATATCGAAAGG